GTTGTGTACCGCTTCTGAGCAAACAGACATAGATATATCAAACTCACAATAGGATCCCCAAGAAGAAACCTGTTGGTGATAGCCTTGAACCTATAGCACATCTTTCCCCCCAGCTGCCAGCTTTTCAGTGCTGTGAGCAAGCAGAGCAGCCTGATGGGTGACCGTGAGAGACCTCTCAGAATATGTGCTTTCCTGTGGCTGTGACCCATGGCTTGGAGCAACCACATGCTCTAAGCAAAAAGAACCGATGAAGTAGGAAGCAGCTTGAGATGCTGGGGAAGAATGAGAAAGCCAGTCCTTAGAGAAGGTGAACTTGCCTGGGCCACAGGTGGATCCTGTGGGGCTTGACATTTGTTTCCTGAGATAGCTATAACAAACGATCACACAGCCAACAGCTAGAGCAACACAAACTCATTACACCACAGCTCTCTAGGCCAGCCATCCTGATTGGCTCGCACTGGGATAGGACCAAGGTGTGTGGTGTGTAAGGGCCGGCTTCTGTCTGGAGGCTCCAGGGGACCCTGGACTTTTGCAGTTACAGAGGACAGTGCATCCTGGGCTCACAGCTTCTCTGTCTTCATAGCCAGCCACACCATTGCTGGCCCAGGGCTTCCATGTGGTCATCCCTGCTGGCCCCACCTCCCCTCCGAGGACCCTGTGACTACATAGGGCCTCCTGGAGAAGCCTGGGTGATGGCCCTTATCAACATTAGCTGAGCTGAAGCTGGGATGCCACCTACACCCTTTGCTGTGTGAGGTGTCACATTCACAGGAGAGGAGCAAGGATGGCAACCTCTGAGGGGCACATATGTTACCTTTGCTAGCTAGATAGGAGCTTAGAGTTCTAGCTTTCGTGTGACAGGAAGCCAGTGGGAGAAGGTACGCAGGGAATGTCTGATGAGGATCCCTCACCCCACCCATGAGCATCAGCAGGGTGCTCCTAGTGCTGGCTGCAGCACCCTTTCCCAGCAGCAGCCTCCTGGCACAGCCCACTCTATGAACCCCTCCAAGAGGGAGCAGTCACTGGTGTCCGCCAAAGGCTCTTCCTGGACTGGACTCACATGCAGCCCAGGCTCCCCCCCCCCCCCCCCCCCCAGTTATTTATCCAACAAGAGAGTGACAATAACTCAGTCTACCTTTGGGTGCTTTTTATAGCAGAACAGAAACCAAATCAAAACCAAAGCAGGACATTTGAACAAGCCAGGGTCCTTTCCATACTCCAACTCTCTATCTGCCAGCTCCATGGCTGCAGGCTCAACCTCCCATGGAATGTGTTTCCTAAAAACCGCAGCTGTGCTGGACTCACATAGGCTATCTCTCATCGTTGTTTCCTGAACAACAAGGGCTCACAGCTCTTGACAAGGCATTTACATCCTAACAGTATAAACCATCTAGAGACACTTTGAGCTACACAGGGGGCGTGAGCAATTGCTTCACTGTTTTCCAGAGGACACTCCACCCATCTTCAGGTTTGGCATCTTGTGGGGTCCTGGAACCAACTCCTCATGGCTACCGAGGGGCAATCGCATCTAGTTTTGAGGTTGCCATCTTTCTTTTGCATTAACTCAGGTTGGCATCATCCAATTTAAACATTTCACATTTAAATGTAAACGTTAAAGATCTCCCTTAGCAGGGTTGGTTGTTCTCCTACAGCCTGTAACTGACTGGACAAGACTCACCCACATTGTAAAGGGTCACCTTCTTTATATAAGGTCTACACTTTTCAGGGTGAGTCACACCTACAGAAAACCTTCACAGTAGCTTTTGGACCAAACATCTGTGCACCAAAGCCTAGACAAGGAGACAGCGTGGGAGCGACGCAGCTAGTACAAATATATGATGTCTCAAACAGTGGGGATGGTTAGGCTGAGCTGGGAGTCCTGTGTCTGGGCAGGGACTCACACACATGTGTATGCATGTGTTCACACACAGCATTCTCAGATCACACAGTGTGGTAATGACCACCCACAAGTGCTCCTGAGGTGAAATCTTTAAACAGAGGTTTGGATCAGCCCAACTCCCAAACAATCAAGAGTGGGTTCAAAGCCATTCTGTGTTCTCTAAACCACCAGAGTACATCATCTGGAACCCCAAGACCGGGCCATAGAAATCACCGACTCTAACTCCTCATTGGCAAGGGGCTATGCAGAAAAGAACCCTTAGTTGACAAGCAGCTAAAATGTCAACACCTACAGTAACTCAAGACGCCCCCAACTGGTATAGCCTTTGCATTTATCCCCAGCATGTTTGCCACACAGAAAACATTCTAAACCATCTGTGCTTGTCAGGAAGAGTTCAAATTCAACCTTTAGACCCTCTATGTATCACAGTTGCCTTTTGCAAGCCTATCTCAGTTTGTCAAAACCATTCTGAAAAGCAGTGGAGGTGGAATCAAAGTGATCAAAGAATGACCTGCAGCACCGAAGGCATCGTCCCACACTGGATCCGTCTCACCGCTGTGTGCTTTCTCAGGGGTGAATTAAGACAACCACAACATGTGTTTTCTTTGGCTTGAACTGTGGTGTCCTTGAGAAGCTTCACTTGCTGATGACAGTGACTTGGATTTTTTTTTTTGGCTTGATTTCCTCTTGTATATTGCACTTAAACCACTCATCATTTCGGAAATCCAGTGGACTTCCAAGGTGGCAGCGAACTTGGCATCCAGAGAGGTCCTACTTCCTGTTTCGTAGCTGACCTGGTCACCTTGGTGTATTGTAACAAGGCGGAAAAGATTGAGAGAGTGAGGTCCCTTTTGCATGGGCATCAGTCCCATTCATGAGGACCATTATTTGCCTCTCAGCCTCATATACCTACCTCCCCAAAGATCCTTCCTCCAAATTCCATCCCACCAGGGATTAGAAACTTAAGTGACCTTAAAAAAAGATGTTTTTGTCTCCTTTGCCTCTGTCTGAGATATGTTTGTACAAGACTATTTCACAAGAGTGGCGTTGTGAAAGGCACAATTAATGAAGTGGAACATGCAAGCTTGCAGGTCCCAACAGACTCTGTGCAGTATGCAGTGAACCTGGGAGGGAGGCATTCCAGTCCCAGACAGGGATGGTGCACTCCTGCAGGAAGCCCATTTTCTTGGGGGACATGGTCTCTGATGGAGGAGGAGGGGCCCCAGCCCCAGAAGCTGAGGTTGGCTATTGAGGATAAGAGGTTGACAAGTTGAGCAATACAGAGTGTTTCTGTCAGCAAACATGTGTGTCCTCAGCTGCTTTCCTCAAAGTCCCAAAGGCTTCCTGACCCTCAGAGTTGAAAGTCTGGTTGAGAGTAACAGGGGACAGAAAGCCTGCAGGGCTTCTAAGTGGATACAGAAATGTGGCATTGGCCTTACTGGTGCCAGAGCATCAAGTGCTTCTCCTCTCCCAGTGGAGCCACTGGGGACTGTAAAGAAGGCTCGGGGAGCTCTTCATGCCCGGGCTAGCCAGGTAATGAGACTGCTCCCAGCAGTCATCCATTTATTTGTTTGCTTATTTGTCTAACCAGTAAAACAAACAAAAAATGTTTACTTTATTCCTGTGAAAGGTGGAGAGAAAGTATTCTCTCATTCTCTGGTTCCCTCTGCAAATGCCCGCAGAGGCTGGGATGGGGTCGGAACTAAGCCAGGAGTGTGGAACTCCTTCCTGGGAGCCTTGTGAATGAGAGGGAGCCAAGCACCTGAGCCATCACTTGTTAGTAGGAAGCTAAAATCTGCAGCAGAGCCAGGACTTGAACCCAGGCCTTCTAACATGGAATGTGGGCACCCCAAGTGGTATCTGGACAGCTGTCTCAAGTGCCCACTCATTGGGCATCTTATGAATGAATGCATAGCATGTACATTTTTATGGGGTGCACATGTTAATGATCTGCTCAGGCCATTTGCATTTCCATCTCCAGATATGTGAATCACTTTGTGTGTGACGATCTTCCTACTTCCCTTCTGTTGCCCTGAAATAAGCTATTGTAAGCTGCAGTTTCCCCATGCTTGTATCTAACACCAGAACTCAGGCATGTTTCAGTGCCTGTTGCCTAATCTGTCTTCCACTGTCCCTCCTAGGCTCTCACAGCCCAGATGGATAGTTCAGCTTCACAGAGTAAGAACATACGGTCCTTGTCTTTTGGCAGAGGCTGATTTAGACAAGCCAGAGCACACTCAGGTTGCCTATCTACAGAATCAGCTCTCTACTTCCTCTCTGGAAACATGAAGACAGATGAGGTACTGCCTTGGGGAAACGCGAGGTGTCGGACAGGCAGCATGGACTCTGAAGGGAGTCCCAGGGCAGGTAACTCTGCTGTGAGATACTAGGCAAAGGAACCCCTGAACAATAAGCAGGTTAGGAGGGCATGTGTGAGTGTGCAGAAGGGAAGAAGGTTGGCCTGGGGTGTCTGGAATATGAATGCTCCGACTTTCTGTCTCTGAGAATTCATATGTGCAATCTGCAGATAGGAAGTTTCTCAATGGATTTGTCAGGACTGTCCACAGCTTTGACCTTGGCTCTGTGTGCAGGCGCCGCGGCTCGAGGATGCGTGGAGTGGAAGCTACCAGCCTGTGCTGTGTGTAGGTTGGGCTGGCGGCTGTCACCACTGTCACATACTTGGGCCACACTGAGAGCACAGGGAGTAAAAGTTTCTATTTTGAGAGCGCCTCTTCCGCCTTTGAACTTTCCCCATCAGGCGTGTGTGGGCATTGTCTGCGCACTGAAGCTTAAAATAAACCGCACCGGGTGTCTAGGGTCACACTCCAGATGTTTAACAATAACCTGCCCACGCAACGGGAAGAAAATCCCCCACCTCGTAGGGGGAGCCGCTCGGTTGTGATCGCTGAGTTGGCGCATCTCCAGGAGGGATGTTTTCAGGCTGTCCTGAACCCCCAGGCGTGCAAGCCAGGTGCCTGGACAGAGCATGCGTGTGCCACCTTGCATCTCCAAGCCTGGAGGCTCCTCCCTTCCTAAAGCCTCAAAGATGTTTCTCTGGCAAACTCCAGCTTTGCTAAAAGTTCTCAGTTCAATTTTTTTTTTTAATGTGGAATGCTTCACGGATTTGCATGGCATCCTTGCGCAGGGGCCATGCTAATATTCTCTGTATTGTTCCAATTTTAGTATATGTGGCGCCAAAGTGAGCACTTCAACATCCTTCAACATAAGGATGTTTGTCTTCCAACATCCTTATCCCTAATGATAGGAGACCATATCCCAGCCTGGCTAGGTGCTGATTGCCATTAGGGTAGATATATTGGATGACTTAAAACTGGCAGGCATTAGCCAGAGAAAGACAAATCAAGCAACACTGCTGTCCTGTCACAAGGGGCTTTAAAAATTATTTTAAAAGCCCCTTAAGAGTGTTGATAGAAGAAACTGGGAGAATTTATCCAGCTAAACAGAAAGGAAAGTTTAGATAGAGATAGAGGGGCAGACATTTAGTGCAGCAATTTTTTTTAATTAGGTTGTATTACGTGACAGTTTCATAGGCTCTGGGATTCCTCCCCCCATGGTTAGTGGATCATGTTTTGAAAAGAGATTTATTATATTTATCTAAAAGGCAGACTTAGAGATGGAGAGAGAGAGAGAGAGAGGTGTTCCATCAACTGGTTCACTCCCCAGATGGTGGCCACAATAATTGCAATGGCTGGCACTAGACCAGGCTGAAACCAGGAGTCAGGAGCTTTTTCTGCTCAAGCACATGGGCCAGCTTCCATTGCTTTCCCAGGTGCATTAGCAGGGAATTGGACCAGAAGTTAGAATTAGCCAGAACTCTAACCGGTGACCTTATGGAATGATGGAACTGCAGGTGGTGGCTTAGCCCACTATACCAATTGGAGTGCCTGGGTTTCCAGTCCCAGCTCTGCTTCTGGGTCTGGCTTCCTTCTAATGCACACCCTGGAAGACAGTAGGTGATGGATGGTTCATTAGCATGCCTGGCCCCTACGTGGGAGATGCAGGCATTTGTGGAGTGAATCAGCTGGCAGGAGATCTCTTTTTCTCTTCTACCTCCCTGACTTTGAGACAAAATTAGAGTAGATAATTAAGTACAGTTAACTTTTTAACTTAAGAAAGAGATGTGTGCAACAAGCGTTACTCTGCAGCTTCTCCATCACAATGGACACTCACATAGGCACACACATGCTCTTACACACACAGGAGCACACAACATTCATGCACCTTGATGTACAGGCCAACACATGTGTTCACCCTTACACATACATATGTGTCTGCACTTCCCCTGGTGTGCAAACACACACTTGGTACAACAGTACCCTGACCACCCCCCTTGCTCAGTCTTCCTTCTTTGGAGTCAGTCCCTGAAGGACCAGCATGGCTGCTGTCTAACCGCAGTGATTCCAGAGTGACACAAAACCTCCCTGCTTCCTTCCATCCCTCCCGCCCTCTTCCTTTCCCTTCACTGACAGTGTCTGAATTGGATGCTCTTGGTTTAAAACCAAGTAAGACCTTCATTCTTGGCTTAAACAAAGAAACAACCCAACAGTCAGGGTCTGGGTGAGAGGCATAGATGAGAGCTGCAGCTTGTGATGCTGGCATCCCATATGGGTCCTGGTCCATGACTGGCTGCTCTGTTTCCTATCCAGCTCCCTGTTAATGGCCTGGGAAAGGAGACCGACAGTGGCCACCCACCAAGGAGGCCAATTCAGATGGAGCTCCTGGCTCCTTGCTTCAGCCTGGTTCAGTGTTTCAACCACATTAGGAAGGAACCAGCAGGTGGGAGATCTCTCTCTGATCTTCAAATAAATAAAACCTTTTTTAAAAAAACCAAAATCCACCAAGAGCCTAACAGAGTCTCGGAACCTCAGTGTGGTTTCCTTTCTAAAATCTATTTGCTGGAGGGTCTGGCTTCGGTGGGTTTGGACGCTGCCAGCGCTCTTGGCCTTCTTAATGTGATTCATCTGGGAATGTGCGTCACACACCAGTCTGAAAGGTGGGACCCAATATTCAGGTCCTCAGGCGTAGCAATTCTCTTGGCTCTGTGTCCCAAAGAAAACCCACGGTTGAGCAAGAGACGCGCACCAGGGGATTCACAGGAGCAGGTTTCTCTGCCAAAAGCAATGACCTCACGCCAATCAACAGGAACCGCAAGAAATCAATGGTAGGGCATTTACAAAGTGAGACAGAGTGACCTAGATACTGCCGACCATGTGGATGAACCTCCCAAACAAAATGCTCAAGGGCAAACAGCAAATTGCACAGGAATGCGTGTATGATGACAATTCACAGAGCATTTAAAGGCATATAAAGCAAACTGAAAAATCATGCAAGACGTCAGGTTCAGGGCAGTGTGAGAGGTGGGGGGAATGAGGGGTCCCCACTCCCTTACCGGGCCACCCAGAGCATCTGTGCAATGGACAATGATAAGGAGATTAGGGGAGTGTGAACATATGTGCTCATTCATTTTATTATCCATTACTCGTTTTTGCATTTCTGAGATATTTCATAATGACAAACAGGAGGATACTTAAAAAAGCAGATGGGTAAATAAAATCAAAAGATGAGTTAATTTTGGTGCAAAAAATGGAAATATGTAGGGTATTTTTCCATGAACTTTCTGAACATTTTTAGGGATGTATAATTATATTGTGTCACGGACATAAATATGAAATAAAATACATTAAAAATATCCAGAAGACAGGATCCAGCACGATAGCCTAGCAGCCAAAGTCCTCATCTTGAATGCTCGGGATCCCATATGGGCACCAGTTCTAATTCCCGAAAGCACTGCTTCCCATCCAGCTTCCTGCCGGAGGCCTGCAAAAGCAGTCCAGGATGGCCCATAACCTTGGGACCCTGCACCCGTGTCGGAGCCCCAGAAGAAGTTCCTGGCTTCTGGCTTAGCTCTGGCCATTGTAGCCGCTTGGGGAGTGAACCATCAGATGGAAGGTCTTCCTCTCCGACTCTCCTCCTCTCCAATAAAAATAAATACATTAAAAAAAAAATAACCAGAAGACACAATGTGTGCTGCAAATATTGCTATTTGGACACAAATTTCGACTGTTAAACCATTTCTCCTTCATCTCGTGAAGGAGAAACGACTCACACTCAGTCCGGGTTCCAGTGAAGGTGCCCTCATCACATGCCTGTCCCTTGGGGATTTGCCCACCAGTTGGTTTTGGTTTGTTTTCATTCCTTGAGTCACCATGGCAGTATCCAGATTCCCAGCAAACATTGAAGTACGTTGGACCTTGAAGTGGGTCCTGAGCTCACCTGCATTGTAGGGGCATCTGAGGAAGCAGTGACGTCACCAGCTCCCAGGGGTCTCATGTGGAGACCCCGCCTCCCCCCAGGGTTCTGCTACCTCAAGGAATGCCCTGGATCCCCGTCTGGCAGCTCTCAATAGGAAATATTTGTGAAGATCCATGTGGGTTTCCCACAATTTCTCAAGGAAGCTGTGTGTGAGCCTCAGGGAATAATCAGCATATTTGAGTCAGAGTTTTTACAGAATGTGAAATTTCCTCCCAGCCGAGCTGCCTCATTTTCACGAAAAGCACACAGCCTTTCTGAAGCCCACATGGGCCAAATCCTTCTGAACCTCTGACCTGCTTCATTCTCCAGCAAACAATTGAAAGTTTACACAAAGGTTCTTTTTTGGGAACATTTTATTGTTTATCCCTTGTTTTTGTTTGGTCTTGCAGGCTTCTATTTGTGTCTATGGCCTGTGGTTGAACGCGGTTTTGTTTTAGCTAAGTGTGTTTCTACAGGAAACGTGCAGCAAGATACCAAAACAAAGGGTTGGTTTAGTGACTAATTTTTGTCACTGGGCTCAGCACCTTTGTGTGCAAGTGACCTGAAGACCACACCATGTAAGCCCTTCACTTACGATGGGGGTGTTGGGCACAATACCCCAAAGACCCAAAAGTGAGAGTGTTGGGATTCCGATGAGAGATCCTCAGGCACCCACGCCCCTAGTGAAGACTGATTTTGAGCAACAAAAGCACTTAAACCTGCCAATAGGATGTACTCCTTGTAATTGACTTGAGCAAAATGCAGTCTCATGTCACTTAACAATGGGGACACATTCTGGGAGCCACATCCTTAGATAGTTTCTTTGTTTTTGATCATCATAGAGTGCTTGCACAAACTAACACGACAACAGCAGTACCAGGTGATGTAATCTTGTGGGATCATCTTTGGATGTGGGGTTCAACTTGACAGCACATCATCAAGAAGTTCGTAGTCTCCACTACTTACTTTTAACAGTTCCCTCTTGCCATCCTCCAGGACTGGGCCAGGCAAAAGCCAGGAGTCTGGCATTCAGTCTAGCTCTCCCGCGCAGGAGACGGGGACCCAAGTACTTGAATCATCACTAGCTGCCTGCCAAAGCATATGCTAATGGGAAACTGGATTATAATTGGAGCAGACACTCTGATAAGAAACATGGGTGTCTCAACCACTGCAGCAAACATATACTCACTCCATGAACTTTATAAAGAGTTCTGATGACATACACTCACTCCCTCCTATAAGGGGGTGCCTGGTACCAGACAACATCCCTATTGATGAAAGCTGAGATCAGCTGGTTGAGGTGCAGCTTACCAGGTTCCTTCTCCAGCAAGTCACAATGGTTTTTTGTTTTGTTTTTTTGTTTGTTCGTTTTTACTCCATTGGTCAAGTGTGAGTTGCCAAATTCAACTCTCATTTAAGGCAGGACAAATAAGACCTACCAATTGGAGTAGCATCCAAAACTTTGTTGGCCTGTGTTAATAGCTCCACCATGGTCGATAAACATCTTGGATTTGGAGATTATCTCTCTGCTAGTCTCCTTTGCTCACTTCTGCAATGGGTGGTAGATCCTTCTTGCCACAGCCACTTTTTCAAATCCTCTTTCCATCTAAATCGGTTATTTTTGACAATTTCACCGTTTCCCCCATTTATTTATTTTTCAACCGTGTATCTACATCACCACGTACACGTGGGAATTTATTGCATTCTACGCAGTGCAATCTGATGCTCTCCATATTCATCTTGTTACTCAACACTATTTCCACTTTAGTCATTGGGATTTCTTTCAGACTGGCTCCTACTTTCTGTCAAATACCTTTGTTGTTTTGTTTTGGGAACATTTTCTTAACCTCTGATGCTATAAGATGTTCCAGGCTCATCTTGTGTTTTCTTTGCTC